TTCCTCAATCATATCAGGGCTTCTCATTACTCTTAGTTTAGCCGAGCAGCTAAAATGGCAAAACTCCTGTATGATCTGAGCCCTACCTTTCTCTCCATTTTCATCTCATAGCAAGTTCCTCCCCCTCTCCAAGCTTTAATCATACTGGCCTTTCGTTTTCTTAGGTATGCTATGCTTTGCCCACCCCAGGGCCTTTGCACATGCTGTTGCCTCTGTCCTAAGTACTCTATCTCCCTTCTTGTCCCTTGGCCTGGTAAACCTCTCCCCATCAGCTCTCACATCAGTCATCCATTCTTGAAGGAATCCTTCCCTGATCATTCTCTTATTTCCCCACTTCCAAGTTACATGCTCTCCTAGTTACATGCTCTCAATGTACTTATTTTTAATAGCACTTATAATTTTCTGATCTTCCCAGGTGGTGCTGGTGGTAAAGAATCTGCCTGCCAATGCAGGAGACACAAAAGATGTAGGTTCCAACCCTGAGTTTGGAAGAAACCCTGGAGAAGGAAATAGCAACCCATTCCAGTATTCTTGCCTGGGGAATCCTTTGGACAGAGGAGCCTGGCGGCTATAGTCCATGGGATAGCAAAGAGTTGGACATGACTGAGCACTCTTATTATATCATAATTTTTGCTTTATATGTTGTTCAAGATTGTTCAGTTAATATTTGTCTTTTCCATCAGATGATACACTCTATGAGAACAGAGATATGTCACTTTTTGCTTATTACTGTATCACTAAGATGTTCAAGCTGGTTTTAGGAAAGGCAGAGGAACCAGAGATCAAATTGCCAACATCTGTTGGATCATTGAAAAACAAGAGAATTCCAGAAAAACATCTACTTCTGCTTTATTGACTATGCCAAAGCCTTTGACTTGTGGACCACAACAAACTCTGGAAAATTCTGAAAGACATGGGAATACCAGATCACCTGACCTGCCTCTTGAGAAATCTGTATACAGGTCAAGAAGCAACAGTCAGAACTGGACATGGAACAACTGACTGGTTCCAAATAGGGAATGGAATACGCCACCTTTCAAAGGAATTGTCACCCTGCTTATTTAACTTATATGCAGAGTACATCATGAGAAATGTTGGGCTGGATGAAGCACAAGCTGGAATCAAGATTTCCAGGAGAATTATCAATAACCTCAGATATGCAGATGACATCACCCTTACCACAGAAAGCGAAGAAGAACTAAAGAGCCTCTTGATGAAAGTGAAAGAGGAGAGTGAAAAAGTTGGCTTAAAACTCAACATTCAAAAAACTAAGATCATGGCATCTGGTCCCATCATTTCATGGCAAATAGATGGGGAAACAGTGGAAACAGTGACAGACTTTACTGTTTGGGGCTCCAAAATCACTGCAGATGGTGACTGCAACCATGGAATTAAAAGACACTTGCTCCTTGGAAGAAAAGTTATGACCAACCTAGACAGCATATTAAAAAGCAGAGACATTACTTTACCAACAAAGGGCCATCTACTCAAAGCTATGGTTTTTCCAGTGGTCATGTATGGATGTGAGAGTTGGACTATAAGAAAACTGAACGCCGAAGAATTGATGCTTTTGAACTGTGGTGTTGGAGAAGACTCTTGAGAGTCCCTTGGACTGCAAGGAGATCCAACCAGTCCATCCTAAAGAAATCAGTCCTGAATATTCATTGGAAGGACTGATGCTGAAGCTGAAACTCCAATACTTTGGCCACCTGATACGAAGAACTGACCATTGGAAAAGACCCTGATGCTGGGAAAGATTGAAGGCAGGAGAAGGGGACGACAGAGGACGGCATCACCGACTCAATGGACATGAGTTTGAGCAAGCTCCGGGAGATGGTGATGGACAGGGAGGCCTGGTGTGCTGCAGTCCACGGGGTCGCAAGGAGTCAGATACGACTGAGCAACTGAACTGACTGATACATATACACGTATATACCTTGAACAGCTCAGGTTTGGATAGCACACATTTGGACTGCACAAAGTCCACCTACAGGTGGATATTTTTCAATAGTAAATACTATAGTACTACATGGAGAAAGAAATGGCAACCCACTCCAGTATTCTTGCCTGGGAAATACTATGGATAGAGAAGCCTGGTGGGCTACAGTCCATGGGGTGGCAAAGAGCAGAACAGGGCTGAGTGACTGAGCACACACACATAGTACTACATGGCCTGTGGTTGGTTGCGTAAATGGTTGCGGAAGTACCACAGATTCCAGCTAAAGTTATACAGGTTGCTTCTCACAACTCATTCACTGATATCTCATTGGTTTGCTCGTAAGGCCAGCTACCTACCATAGGTCAGAGAAAGGCAGGCAGTCTTTTATTGAGCAGCAGTATTCACTGCTACAGATCAGGGTTTCGCTATCATGGAAGAAAGGGACAAAGGACCTAGAGATAGATAACTTCTCATGCCTCCACACTCCCATATCACCAATAAAATTACTGCAGGAGGAAGATGAGCTAAATTTGTCCTGTGGCTTCACCTATCCCATGGTGAAGGACCATGTGTTGTGTGTGCTCTGGAGTAGTGTTGTGTGAGAAGCTTGGTTTAACAACATAATTTTTAATGACTGCATATATGACTTGTGAAAATTTATAGTTTATTGAATCAACCCTCAATTGTTGGACTTTTTATTATTACAAACAACACAGAAATGACATTCTTAAAGCTAAATCATTTCCTTGGGATAAATTTCTAGAGGTGGAACTTTTGGTTCAAAAATGTATGTATATTGAACCTTTGAAGAAACACCATTCTCCAGAAATGTACCAATTTATGCTCCCTCTCTTTCATCCTCGGTTTTGTCACCATTTCATATCGTCACTTAACAAGATCTTGGCTAATGTGAAAGGCAATTTTATTGAGATAAACAGTAAAGGATTTTCATAATGAAAACAAAAATGTAAGGAATTTCAAGTTAAACTGATATATTAAACATATGTCTATAAGGCTCCCAAAACTCCACTAAAATTACATCAAAGGGATTTTAAAAATAAATCAACAAAAACAAGAAGAACAGGAAATAAAGTAACAGCAGCAACATACTGAAAGATGGAAAACAGATGAACAAGGATAACTCACTACCCAGGCTATTAAAGCCAAATCGCAAACCAGAAGTGGAGAAAACAGACCCAACCTGACTCACACTGAAGAAATCCCAGAAAAAAAAAAAAAAAACAACAGGAACTAACACAAATTTAACTCAAGTCTTTATTTCCCAATTGGATAATTACTAAAACTGTTGAAACTTGTAACTTTATTTCCAAAATAAATTCTTTCTAGTACATTCTACACAGTGCTAGAAAAAAATGATTTTTTAAAACAAACTATATATTTTTAAACACAACTCTTATTTCATTCCACTGGTGAAAATTCTTGGTTGCCAAGCTATATGTCCTTGAGAACAAAGTCCCAAGTTCCTTATTTGGCAGACTCACTTCTCCATGACCCAACTCCCACTTACCTCTTACTATTCATTCAGAAAAAGTTAAAGGTCAGATATGTGTCAGACACTATAGAAAGCATTCAGTTCAGCTCAGTCGCTCAGTTGTGTCCAACTCTTTGGGACTGCATGGACTCAGTTTTCTTTATAGTCCAACTCTCACATCCACACATGACTACTGGAAAAACCATAGCTTTGACTAGACAGACCTTTGTTAGCAAAGTAATGTCTCTGCTTTTTAATATGCCGTCTTGATTGGTCATAACTTTTCTTCCAAGGAGTAAGAGTCTTTCAATTTCATGGCTGCTGTCACCATCTGCAGTGATTTTGGAGCCCCAAACAGTAAAGTCTGTCACTGTTTCCACTGTTTCCCCATCTATTTGCCATGAAATGATGGGACCAGATGCCATGATCTTAGTTTTTTGAATGTTGAGTTTTAAGCCAACTTTTTCACTCTCCTCTTTCACTTTCATCAAGAGGCTCTTTAGTTCTTCTTCGCTTTCTGTGNTAGCTCAACTGGAATTCCATCACCTCCACTAGCTTTGTTCATAGTGATGCTTCCTAAGGCGCACTTGACTTCGAATTCCAGGATGTCTGGCTCTAGGTGAGTGATCACACCATTGTGATTATCTGGGTCATGAAGATCTTTTTTGTATAGTTCTTCTGTGTATTCTTGTCGCCTCTTCTTAATATCTTCTGCTTCCACTAAGTCCATACCATTTCTGTCCTTTATTTAGCCCATCTTTGCATTAAATGTTCCTTTGGTATCTCCAATTTTCTTTACAAGATCTCCAGTATATATGTGTGTGTATATCACATATGCAAACATAATATATATTTAAAATTACTATTAAAGTGAAAATTAATACAAAAGAATTCAAATATTTAATTTTTTTTCAAGTATCTAATTCTAATTTGAGGGGTAAAGGGGGAGGAAAAAAAGAAAGGCATACGGGAAAACTGTTGATTTATTTCTCAGAATCTTGACACCCAATGCTAATTTGCCTCTAGCATTAAATTCAACTCGAAAAGACTGATAAGGCGCCTAAAAAGTGCTTGTGAGCCTCTTTGCTGTTTTGTACAGAGCCTATTTGTAAGTTTTGAGGACAGAAAACAAGAGTTGGTGTGGGGTTATTTTACTTTGTAGAACTTAAGATGCCGGTTCTCCTCTTCCTGCCACATCTCTCAGATAGAATAGGCAGGATCTCAGGATTTAGGCTCTGTGACATGGATTTCGGGCTCAGTCTCCTCTCTCTGGCATCAGAACACCCTACCTGAGTCTTGGACGGAGTCGGCATCAATATCTATTCCGAGTTTGCCGCAGAAAAGCGTTGACCGCTAGGACAAAAAGCCAAAGAATGCGCCCGCTGGATATCAAACCCGGGAGCCGGGGGCGGGGCGAGCCTGGGCCCCGCCCCTCGGCAAAGCCAGTAACTCGGCACTGGAGCGGGAGGGGCGGGGCGAGCCCTGCCGGCGACCTCGTGATTGGCACGTAGGCTCCCGCTCCCGGCGAGGCTACCCCTACCTATAGCCTGCCGGAGCGCTAGGCTAGTGCGGATCTACAAAGTTTGTCCGCTCCGGGGCACCGTAGTGACTTTTACGCTGGCGGAGAGGGCCCGGCTGGACTCTGCTGGGCTGGCCGGCAGGAGCCCGGCTCAGCTTAGGAGATCCTGATGGCTGCGGTGTTTCTCGTAACGCTCTATGAGTACTCGCCGCTTTTCTACATTGCGGTGGTCTTTACCTGCTTCATCGTGACCACCGGCTTGGTGTTGGGATGGTAAGTGTCCCCAGGACTAAGGGCAAGGGGCGTCTGGGCGGACAACCAGGGAGATGGGTAGCGGCCAGCTGCAGGGTGACTGCTGGACTGTGGCTGTCGGAGAGCCGGTGCTGAAGGCTCCCACTGGCTCAGGAGGAAAACAAGGTGGACACCGCACCCGCATCACTGCCCTGCATCATCGTCCGATCGCCGTCGCTGCGGGTATCTGGGGATGGTGCAGGATTGAGGTATTTTACCCAGCTTTGTTTCGAGGTGATAAAGCAGCCAGTAAGGGCTTGGGCTTGGTGTGAGGATAGAGAGGCTGTACAACAGGTTTCTGTCCGGATTTGGGGCCTACTGTGTGCCCGGAGTGAGCCCGTCATCTGCGGTACAGTGCTCAGACGGGACAGTAAACCCAGTTGTTCGTTGCTCTTCTGACCTGAACTGAGCACTTGCCGTAAGATCTCCCAGTGTAACTTATAACTGAACTCTGCACCGTTTGAGAATGTAATGGTTTCTGCACACATTCCACACCTTTTGAACGGTGAAACTATAAAGACATAATTTTAGAGTTGGGAGAGACCTCAGAGATAAGTTACACTAAAGTATAAGGGCACTTCACGTATTGGAGACTAGGAGAGGAGACTGTTAGCTCATCTGTGAGCTAGAATTAGCTCAGAGATTCTAAAATTTCTCTCTCGAAGAGATGCCGTTGTATCATGTTTAGAGTCGTCTTATAATACAGCTAGCTGAAACCATCTTACAGGTCCATCCTTTGAGGAGAGAGACATGAGCTGAATTTTAAAGAGTATTTATTTTGAAAAAGAAATGGAGCTAAACGTGTATAGTAGAGAACAGAAGGCATTTCAGAGATTACATGAGCAGAGGGTCAGAGGAGACATGCTAGTGAATAGAGCAGGCTGTGTAATATGAGTTTTGAAATACCCTTTGAGCATGTATATGTGATTACTTTGGGCTTCCCAGGTGGCAGGGTGGTAAAGAATCCACCTGCCAATGCAGGAAACGCAGAAGATGTGGGAGATCTGGGAGGAAGATCCTCTGGGATGGGAGATGCCCTGGAGGAAGAAATAGCAACCCACACCAGTATTCTTGCCTGAAAACTCCCATGGACAGAGGAGCCTGGGGGGCTACAGACTGTGGGGTTACAAAGAGTTGAATACCACTAAGCAACTGAGCCCACATGTGTGATTACTTTAAAGAAGGAACACAAGCGCTTGTCAATTTCTGAAAATATGCCATCTTTAGGAACTAAGGAAAGTTTTTAACGTTTTCACACTGCTTTCCACGCTGTCAGCAGTAGATTATAAAATTCCTTCTTGGTTGGTGGGGGAAGAATAGAACCAATTTTACACAATCTGTTATTCTTGACACATCAGAATTTCTTACTGTTGTTCATTTCAAGAAAGTTTGTAGTTGGAGTTAGGAAGATGTTGTCTAAGTGAGAAGAGATGTCTAAACACAAGATTTTTATTGGCTATACTGTTACTGTCTTCAAGAGTATAATTTTCCTCCATTAAGAAAAATAAGTAACCAGTTGATAATTGCATAATATCCTTAAATTTTAATTTTCAATCAGCCTAATTATTTTACAATTAATTTTCAGTTGGCCCGATTCAACTAATTAGAGATTTTAGATGTCTGTCTTTAGTAATGGGAGGAGGAAAATGAGTAAAGACCTATCGATAGCGATGGTGGCGTCTGTGAGTGAAGGGTAGTTCAGAACCTCGTGCTGGGGTGGAGTCAGACAGACAGGTTCAAATCCTGGCTCTGCCAAATTTCAGACTTCGTTTAAAAAGTTAATGATTATCTAAACACTCCATTTAAGTATGACTTTTATAAGGATGGAGGCCCAGGTAGTTGTAGAACTTCAAGTAGTCTGAATTAAGCATGGCTGAGGCCACAAAATCATATAAGTGCCAGTCACTTCCATCCTGATTTGGGCCTAACCAGTCATCTTAAGCCTAATCCAGCCATTCTCTCCATATGGGTTAGCTTTGCCCATGTAGATAATCTTATTATTATTGTTTTTTTAAACTAGTGTTTACAGTGAAGGCCATCTAGAGCTCCTCAAAGTAGTTTTCTAATAGTACCCCGGGCAGAAGGCAAAAGCATTAATCTGCTGTGCTTTTTCACTGTGCTTGTCATTTTCTTTAACCTCCCCCAATATAATTTCTATTGGTCATCTGTCTTCTCTGTCATGGTTCTTACCGCAGTACTGCCTTGCATTTCTGTCCCATTGCTTAGTTCCTTCCCCTGTCTTTCGCACTATGTGGGAGTAGAGGAAGAACAGCCGCTCCTGACTGTTGGAATCCCAGTCCCAGTAGCAAAGAATAACACAACGGAAATTATTGAATTTCTGTTTAACTACCTGATGGTTTCTGTGAGCTCTGATACTCAGATTTATCAAGCTCTAGCTATTTTGCCAGGCAGTGTGCAGAAAGGAGGCCAGAGTGCCATATACATCCTTAAATAGTTTCAGGTAATTCGTGATCCTGACTCTGCAGCTGCTCTCTGCTTCCTCTTGACTGCAGATTATTAAGCTGTTATCCTTCTGTACTTTGCTTGGTGACTGCAGCGCAGAACCTCTAAAGACCTTTCTTCTTTGCTAGCTCACTGCTTCCATGAAGCTTTGCCAGTAGGGGAAGGGAGTAGAAGGCTAGAAAAGGACAGAAGGACTTTCTGCTTCTGTCTCACCACAGCTATAGTACCTCTCTCTGGCCTTAACAGTGGGTCACAGTTTATTGTTTTCTATGCTCTTAGAACTAGCCTCATTATATCCCTCCAAAGATTTCAGTACACTTTCCTCAGATCTGAGTCCCAGCTGCACGGAGGTCTTCCCTCCAAATCTCTAAGCAGTAGGAATCCTCTTTGCTCTGTTCTGTGTCCTGGGAGTATATAGTTGCTTCCCATTGTAACTAATTCTGTGACACTCAGTGTCTCCTTTTTGCCTTTTCAGTTCTTCGACATCTGGCTCACAAATTTTTATATTATATTATCTGTTAAAATGCTGGTGTGGCTTTGGTCTCTTGACTGGACTGATAAATATTAATATATTGATTAAGAATTTGTTACTCAGAATGGGATCCAGGGGGGGAAATCCTTTACGGATGGGATTTGGGTTTGGTCATCTCTTCAGCTCCTTGCCGATGGGAAATAAGAATCTAGTAATCCATGGTATGGATTGGCATCATGAATAATCAGCTTTGCCTTTATTTTCTTGTGATTAATGATTTCTGAAGCTACGTGCCTTGGGGGACTAAGTGGCTGAAGTACATTACCATCATGGCAGCAGTGATACCGCAGAGACTGGGGGAAGGGTGGGATGGCTGCTCGTGGGGTCACTGGAGCACTTACAGAAAGAAAATGACATGTTCATGTCTTTAAACTCTCAGATCAAGTCTTAGTCAGAGAATCAGTTTTTATCATGCTAAAGCTCTTTACTTCATGTAGCCACAAAGCTGCACAGTTTTAATTGTGCTGGTATTAGAAGTGCATAGCCTTGTCAATGTCCTGTTTAGGACACTGACTAGGAAAGAGTCAGAACCCTGAAACTTGCAATGAGAGCTGAGAATCCTGAAACCCCAGTCACTCTGTGTGTGCCTCCCTTGTTGATGGAAGCAGCTTGCTTTCCATGTCTGAGAAAACTAGCCTTCTCTTGCTTGAAGATCCTGTAATACTTCTCTTAGGGCAGCTGCTTTGCAAACAGTGTCTATACTCAAAACCTATCTCTGTAATCTTTTGTCGTTAGGCCTAGATCTCTTCATGTTCCACAGAACAGGGACAAAACCTGACCTAGTTAGAAAGAACCAAGCCTCTAAAAGAGTAACAAAAGTTGGCTAATTTGTATTCATGTGAATTTGGGAAGTATGTATGGGAATGAAGTGTAAATAGATTAGGCCAAGGAGGATAGAATGTAACAATGGATCAAGTTACATTTATTGATCTGGATGTATTCTTAAAAAATTCTGACTTTAAAGTGTTAACTTGTATATGGTTGACTGAAACTTGGACCAGGAGCTGCCCTATATTTAATAAAACTGAGATGCTAGAACGTTCCTGGCATAATGAAGAGGAAATCTGAATGCTTAGGAAGATAGGAATATTGGACTGGATTTATTATGTGCCACCTGCACACCTGTCCTCTTACTGCATCCTTCAGCATGACCTGGAAGACACATTTCACAAAGGCACTAAGGAGAGACTGGTGGCCTTAAAAATCTTCAGTGCCTGTCCACTGTGGGTCTTTTATGATGTGGGAGATGCTGCCGTTCGGGTGGACCTCCTGATCTGAAGTGCAGTGACAACACATAACCACAGGAGTCACCATGGACTTCTGTCCCCTAATGGGCAGTGGAGGACAATGCAGAGAACGACTTGGCCCACAAGGATCTCTTAACAGTGGCTAATGGATTAGAGCGTCCTTAGGAATAAAATAGATAGGTGGCCTCCTAAGTCCTTCAGCAAGTACACAGAATGAGAAACTCCAGGCTGGAACTAGAAAGCTGACTTGTCACAGTGGGGAGTTACGACCTTTATGGGGAATTAAGACCTTTGGCCTACTTTTCAAATCTAAGTCAATCCATACACCTGGAGCCATGGTGAGGTCAGGTCCTCTCGAGGAAGGTCTCTGTCTCCTGAGTACTGCCCCGAGGGTACTGTGAATCTTCCATCAAGTCTCAGAGTCTGTTGTCTCTCAGCTGCAGACGTTCTGTCTGTACTCCGCTTTTGATTCTGGAGCTGGGACTGTGCAAAGCTGTTTCTCTTATGCTAGTTTGCTCCCTGTTAGGCTCTGCCAGTTCAGTTCAGTCGCTCAGTTGTTCCCAACTCTTTGCGACCCTGTGGACTGCAGCACGCCAGTCTTCTCTGTCCATCACCAGCTCTCAGAGCTTGCTCAAACTCGTGTCCATCTAGTCGGTGATACCATCCTGCCATCTCATCCTAGAAAGAGTCTGGAAGGCTGGTAAAGGAGGAAGGAACTTCCTGTTAACCATTTGCTTCCT